TTTTAAAAATATCAGAAAGAAAAATAAAAGGAAAAAATTGTTGGTATATGATTTCTAGACAGTTTAGATAATGTAGTTATATGTAACCTGAAGAATGAATATTCTTCTTCACCTGAAAAAATGTAAACATTTATAGTAACTTTTAACAAAAAATGAAATGTGCATGTAGGAAGTGTGAAAAAAATACATACCATGTTTCATATATCTAACCTATTTCTTAGATGGGATGTGTATAGTTAGTTCTTTTAGTTCTAATTTATCAAGTAGGATCTTTAGAGATAACTTTTTAAATGTTCAAGGGTGATTTATTGTTTTACCATTTCAATATATATTCAAATCAAATGATCATTTAGATAATAGAGCTACTTGCCTATCTAATTATAGTTATATGTTATAACTAAGTTCAGTCTTTTCCAAGTGTTTCTGGCAATTGTCACTTTTCCCATGTTACCTTGTAAACCACTCTTCACAATTGGATTGAGTATACCCCAAGGAAGAAATTGTTTCATGACCCTTTGTAAAATAAGCACCTAATACAATGCCTTGCACATAATAGGTGTTCAAGAAATGTATGAGGTTGATAATTTAGAGTAAATGCATTCTCAGCTGGATATAGGCTCTTATGGGTAGTAATGTGGCTGTGTATCTGGCTTGGTTAAAGTAGCATATATTCCCCATGCATAGCTCTTCCATGCTAACATTTTCATCACTAATTCCATTGTCTATTCAGACTTATAGGTTATTCATTTTTTTCTCCCATTGGGCAATCCTGAAAATGAAAAAGCAAGCAAATAGTTTATTAATGAATATGATCTGAATAAGAATAATTGATGATAGAAACTATAGTAATAGGACTGCTGGTTACTTCAGTCCTTCTCTGTTGAAAAAGATTACTTAAAAGTATCATCACATTTCTTATAAAATCCTCATCTTGTTAGCTTATATTCTATGCCAGAGGTCTAGTCAACTTTAGAACAGAAATTATGCCATTCCAACAGATGGCCATTAATTTAACCAGCCAAGAAACCACGTGTGTGCATTAAATGTTTACTGGTGACATTCTCTTCTAGGAGCTTTTTCTAAACAGCTGTGTGAATGAAATTGCTGCATGTATGACTGAGGCTATTTGCTAATCTAATTCTAAAGTGGATTTTAAGAAATGAAGGACAAAGAAGAAAAGAGGAGGAGCAAAGAAAGAATTGGAAAAAGGATCGTAATGCTAGTGCTGGAAGGGAGCTCAGAATCCATGAAATCCAACCCTCTCATTTTACAGATGAGGAAAGTGAGGCTCACCCAGGGCAGTTAGTGACTTGGCAATGACATACGGAGTGTCAGCAGTGGGATCTGAACACAGGTCTTCTGACTCCTGAGCCATTGCACTTTGTACCTTCCTCAGGCTTTCAGAGTATGAGTTTCTTTTTTTCTTTTTTTTTTGTTTTTGTTTTTGGTAAGGCAGTTGGGGTTAAGTGACTTGCCCAAGGTCACACAGCTAGTACGTTTGTGAAGTGTTTGGTCTGAGGGCAGATTTGAACTCAGGTCCTCCTGACTTCAGGGCCAGTGCTCTATCCACTGCGCCACCTAGCTGCCCCTCGAGTATGATTTTCTTGCATGAAATTCTCTGCTGAAGCAGAAAGAACTGATATTAGATTTATAATTTTAAGGCTAATTTCAACAAATAGAAGTAGCCCTTCTAAAAAGGCTTACATTTCTGTTAGTTGTCTACTCTAATGTCAGTAGGGAAACTAGATCATTAATAGTAAAGTCTCATTTAATACTGTTGTTTTTCCCTTTTAGTTTTGTTGTTGCATTGCTACACGAACCACCTGTTAAATTGTCTTTTTTCTCTCTTTAATTTCTTCCCTCTACTTTTTGATTTTCCCATTCCTTTCTGCTATTGTCTTCAGAAGAAGGATTTTCATTTTCTCAAAAACATTACATTCCCCGTGGAAAAAATGCAAGTTAAAATGTGTAGTAGCTGTTCATTTTTCAGTCTTTCGATGGTAACCTCTTTTGGTACAGGTTTTTGTTGGCATGGTATACCAGGCAAAGTATAAATTGCTGTAAAACTGGAAAAACATTTGAATGAATAAAGCAGATGTTCTCTTAGCATGAAGCAGATGTAAAACTTGCAAGTGTCTGTCTAATAAAGTATAGCATTTGGTTCTATACAGCTGGTGCCAAGATTACAAATTAATCATGTTTGAATGCATTTTTGCTAATTAGGTCCCCCTCTGTTTTTATACTTTGAGGGGGTATTAAAAAGGGTCATGTCACAATGAGTCACATTTTTTTCTTTCTTTCTTTTCTTCCCCTCCTTGAGAAGCAGTATGGTATAGTGGAAAGAGCTCTAGACTCAGATCTAAAGTCCTCATGCCATTTTATGGCAGTTGTTTAACCATGAGCAAGTGACTTAACCTTCCAAACTTTATCATCCTCATCTATAAATTAAGAATATTAATACATAAGCTACTTACCTCACCAGTTTATGATAGGGAAAGCATTTTTTTAAACTTTACATTACATAGATGTCTTCATAATTATCTTGAAGTAGGTTTTTCAGTTGTTTATGGATTTTTTTTTTTTTTACAAAATACATTTGAAATTAAGTTCACCACATGGATGATATAATGACTAATTTCAGGTTTTGGAGGAGTGAGGCACCTAGTCACCTTCAGCTAGGTCAACTCTGCCCCTAAGACTCATTGCATTGTTAAAAATTCTCCATCTCCCCTCCCCTCCCCTCCCCTCCCCCCCTCCCCTCCCCCCAGGCAGTAAGCAGGCCTGATGCTTATCTTCCAGATTGTGTAAAGTAAGGATATTGGACTAGATGATCTTGAATGTCTCAGCTCAAAAATCCAAACGACCCTATAAAATGCCATAAAGCATCTAGAAACCAGAAAATAAACACTATTTTTTCCTTCCTATTGGTTTGTTAATTTACTTCATAGCTTATGTAATTAATGAGTAAAGTTTGGGGCATGAAGATTTGAAATAAAAGTAATGTTACTTTGGTTTTTTGTTTTGCTAAGTCAAACCTACACAACCTGTGGCCTGCAAGAGGCTTACAGCCCACAGACCGCTTGTGGCATGCCAAAGGATTTCCTCCACATACAAATGACGTTTTCCTCTAGTTTTTCCTGGGCCACTTGAAATCCTTTGGCATACCAAGGGCTGGTTGTGCAGGCCCGTGCTAATAAGGTAATGAAACAGTTTCTTTGAAGAGTAGGGTTGAATAGATCAATATGACTGAAAATAAGAGCTCAATCTTTTATCACTGGTAGAAAAATCACTTTTCTAACCAAAATGGCCATTCCCTATGCTGGAAAAGCCATGTCTTTAATGCTTTCTGTATTGTCCTTTCTATAAAGAAAGCTGTGGTAATGAGATTGGTTTTATGAAGAGTGGTTGGAATTTTTTTCATGCTTAGATTGCTTTACTAGGGAATATGAAAGATTTATTTAACTCTCAATAGAGAAGGCAACATATCATGTGAACTTTTAAATTATATGACTGAAATTAGTTATCGAAAAAGAGTGGTTCTTCAGTTTGGGGAACTTATGACTACTTGTCTTACTAAAAATGTAAATACCTCACTACTAGATGTAGATTAACTAGAGGATTTCCTTGGTGCTGTCATATTGAGTTGGGAAGGTCAGTGCAGTAGAAAATTGGAAGAGTTTCATCATCTATAATCACCAAGTCAAAAATAAAACCTAATGGACTGCTTTTTAAAATGGAATTTTTATTAATATTACCTGAGAAATAGTTGGAGGGTGAAAAAAAAAGTACAATTGAAAACATAATCTTTTAGGGAAAGAAAGCGAAGTGGTCTTGAGAAGGAAAAACAGTAAGTAATACCAAATGTTAACAAGACAAAACATTGGGAGTCTTTAGTTGTAAAATATTAATATTATGAACAATAAAATATTCACAGAATTTGAGTCAGAAAGGACCTCAAAGGCCATCTAGCTCAACACATACCTAAACTAGTTTCCCCCTATGGGAGCGCATTCCTAGAATTGTTATGTAAAGCTTTGATGTAATAATATACCCCTGAAAAAGTTATATTTCTGTGGGAAGAAATGCCATGTAGAGAGTTGCATACTGTTGGATGGAGTTTTCTGACCTACAAAATGAAAGATTCAATATTGATGTGAATTCGAATGTTATTTTTAATTTTGTGTATGTGTATATATGTGGGGGGGGGAATCTCCCAGGAACTTTATAAAATCATAGATTGTCAAGCTGCAAAGGATGCTTCATTTAATCTAGACCAATTCCCTTTTTTACCTAATGAAGAAATTGAGACCCAGCGAGAGATTGTGATTTTTCCAAGGTCACGCAGTTTGGCTGAGCTGAGATTTAAACTTAGGTTCTTTGATTCTAAATCCAGTATTCTTTTGGGTATGCCAGTCTTCTACAAACCACAACCAGCCCTGACACTTTTATATTGTTTTTATCAGTTAAATTCAGTATTGTACAGTGTTACATAACCAAATGTGATTATAACGAGATTATTTTAGATTTTCAGTTCTTCTGGGATAGAATATATTGTTTAAATATAGTTTAACATTCTTTTTATTCATTTTCTACCATTAATATTTTTCACTAAGGTGACACTTGTCAAAGTAAGATTTGTATGTAAAAGTCCTTCCTTCAATGACAATACTTAACATTTTTAGAGTGAAAAGAAAATTGCTCTTTTCTGTTGTTAGCATGGGGACAATATTACTTTTTTAAAAGTTTCTTTTTAGGCTATTTGCAGTTGTCATGCTTCTAATATTATGTGGGAATAGGTAAGTTGTTTTTATTTATTTAAATTTGATTTCTGTCTCTATGTAGAAACTTTTTTTATCCTTTGGAAACTCAAATGTAAAGTAGGTGACTGATCTCCTGGGATTCAATTTTCAGAGGTTTTTTCCCCCTTCATTGCTGTTATGACAGTAGTCACTGAAATGTAATAAAGTCACAGAAAATAATAGGTCTACCTTTTTTTTCAGGAAGTGGAGCGAGAAATATCATTCAGAACAGAATGTGGATTATATTATTCTTATTACAAACAAATGCTCCAGGCTCCGACTATCTCAAAAGGTAATTAAATTAACAGAAAGTTTTACCTATTGGTCTTTGGGTTATTTTAAGTATAACTCACTTGAAGACAATATTTTAATCAAAATTGTACTTTTAAAAATGAAATTGAGGTTATTATTTGAGAAGTAGATGGAAGTCATTTTAAAGACTGTCCCAGATTCATAGGGAGACAGAATGGTGTGATGGCTGGAGAGTCTGCTTTGGGTCAGGATGACAGAAGGACTGTCTTCAAGTCCAGCATCAGAGATGTACTGATTGTGTGATGCTGGGCAGGACACTTAACCTTTCAGTGTCCTGGACAACTATTTAAGACGATAAATTGTAGAACAGGGGCTGATCTGTATTGATAGAAGGAATTTTCTCATCTGAAATTTCCCTTCACTGATGAAATCACAGGTCTAGATACCCCTCCACTCCCTCCCCCCAACCCCTCAAAAACAAAACACAACTCCAAATTTATATAGCTTTTCCATGCTCATCTTTCAGTAACTCAATACAAATGCCTTGGCCCTGGAAGAAGTTTTTATGTTACCATTTAAATACTGCTTTTAAAATATAGTTTTAGGGGCAGCTAGGTGGCGCAGTGGATAGAACACCAGCCCTGAAGTCAGGAGGACCTGAGTTCAAATCCGGCCTCAGACCAAACACTTGACACTTACTAGCTGTGTGACCTTGGGCAAGTCACTTAACCTCAGCTGTCTAAAATAAAAATATATATGATTTTGTTAGGCATTTGTGTTCACTTCCCCCCCCCCACACATACATACACACACACACACACACACACACACACACACATACACATGTGCATGTGCACTCTTTGTCTCTCTCACACACATACATACACATACACTCACATACAAACAGCTATTGTTTTTGAATTTGCTGGATTTTGAATGAAGGGTTGAATTAAAAAGCATTTATTAAATGCCTTTAATGTACACAGCACTGAATATACCAGTTGAAAAGCAGAGACAGCATCTACTGTTAAAGAACTCACAATTTAATGGGGGAGGATGGTACATATAGGAGGTTTAAGTCAAATGGAAAAATGTCCCATGGTCCTTAGGGGGCAGTGGCAAAGCAGATGGTAATGCATCTTTTTTAATGTTGTTTCCATCGATAAAGTCATATCTGTTTCTGATTTTGAACCATTTGACAGTGCTAAGGGCTTTGTTGTCAATAACTTTCTTTTCTGGAGCTTTGATTGCTAGAGAGGATGGGGGGATAGCAGAAATGAGAGGTGAAGGATAGGACTTCAGTATCTGCAGAAGCAATCCAGGTTTCATCTTTGTGAGGCTTGTTTCTTGAGTCGTTGGGTGGGAGTGGGATTCCTAGGTATCCTGGGTTTGCTCATCATCAGTGTCTAGTATTGTTGGGGGTGGGGAAAATGGGCCCCTTTTCCCAGGGATTGCAGGGCTGGTTGGATGGGAAAACACTGCTATTCCCAGCATGTTTGGTTTCAGGGACCTTTGCTATATTCATTGGAGTCTAAGGGCTATTAGTTGTTGAGCTGACATCAGTAGCTTGTTCTGCCTGGCACATACCTTCCCTTGTCCTTTAAGGATACCTTTTACCTTTATGTAGACTGGCTGTTCTGCTGCTTAGTTCTCATACTGGTCTGCATAAAGAACATTTCATTCAAGGGAAATGGAGAAATATTCAGTTTAAAAATAGATGGCATGGGAAAATAGAAAAAGATAGTCACAATAGAATATAAAAGTTGTAATTATACATTTCATTATTCTGCTGTACTTAGAAAATGCTAAGATAAATACTGAAGGTCTCTATGGAGCGTAGAATAGTTGGTCATATATAGTCAGTTTAGTAATTTTATCTGTGCCTAGAAATGTATATTCTTTAATTTTGCACACACACACACACATACACACACACATTCTTTTATTTCTCTTACCTCCTTTAATCACCCTTCTAAACTACCTCCTTTATTCCTTCTATTGCTCATGTGCAAGTCATACTTTTATATCTGATAGAAGTCAACCAAAAGGTTTTCTCCCACTGTGTACCTCCATATTTGCTCAGAGTAGTATAGATGCTCTATGAGGCTTTAAGTATAGCAATAGATAGCACTTGCTGTCCAAGTACCAGCAGTTAAATACAGAGAAGCTTCTAGATAACTGTAGAGAAACTTTTCAACAGTGGATTGGTTTTAAAGTCATGGCCATGGCAAGCAGTGAAACAGAGATAATTTTTTTTAACTGGCCCTTATTAGTATGTATGTAGTCACCTAATGCTTTTGCAGTGACAGCCAAAAAAGGGGCAGAGGGTACGAAGACTCATTTTTTTCTTTAGTGCATGTATAAACTTAATTGTTGGCATGATAAATATGAGATCTTTTTCTTGGGACCAACAGTTATATAATACATACTTAATAAACATTTATTGAATTTGACTTAAATTTTATATACTACCAGAATACTGAACTATATTAATATTTCCTCAGTATAAATGAGAATATAAGCTCCTTAAGAGCAAGGACTATTATATTTTTGTTTTTTTATCCTTAGTGCCTAGAGCATAGCCTTGGAGGATGAGATGACCCTCCTTCTTATCAATCTTAGCCACCCCTAAATGCAAAATCTGCAAAATGAGTTCAGAGTATTTTGGGGATTAGGAGGGGAGACAGACAGATAAAGTAAAAAAAAATTAGGAAAAGCCTCTTGAGGGAGATGGCACTAGAACTGAATGTTAAAGGGAGCTAAGAGTTCCACGAGGCAACTGTGAAGAGGGAGGACACTTGGGAAGTGTTTCATATTAAGAACAGCAAATAGGCTCATTTGACTGGAGTAGAGATTACATGAGGGAAAGTATTGTGAAACGAGTCAAGAAAGATAGATGAAGAATAAATTGTAAAAGGACTTTAAAATGCTAAGCAGAGGAGTTTCTTTTTTGTCTGAAGTTTGTTGAAGAGGGTAGTGATGTGACCAGACCTATGCTTTTGACAACTGTTGGAGGATAGATTAGAAAAGGGAGAGATGAGAAGAAGAAAGAACTGCTTAGCTGGGTGGCTATTGTAATGGTCCAGGTGAAAGATGGTAAGAGCTTGATTAGGGTGGTCAGAGTGTGAATGCAGGTAGAAATTGGATGGGAATGTGCAAGATGTTGTGGAGGCAGAATTGATAAGACTTGGCATTTAGATATAGGAGATGAGAGACAGGAAGGATGTATGCTAACTTTGAGGTTGTAATCCTAGATGACTAGAAGAATGTTGATGCCTTTGAAGGTAATAGGGAAGTTAGAAACAGGGGTGGCTTTTGGGAGAAAGATGATGAGTAGCATTTTCAACACACTTTATTTGAGATGCCCATGGGATATATAGGCAGAGCTATCTAGCAGGTAGTTGGTGATGTGGGACTGGAGCTGAAGAGAGAAATGAAGACTGAATATTTATGTGGACTGAGAGCAATTTTACCATGAAAAACCCAGGGAAGACAAAGTATCTAAGAGGAAGAAAAAGTCAGTGGCATCAAAAATAGAAGAGCAATCTAGTAAGATGAAGACTGTGAAAATTCCAATATATTTAACAAATGTCATAGATTGGTTGATCAAATTCATGTAGTCCATCAGAAGCATCATCATCATTCATGAGGAATTGACACAGAAAAACCAAATTGCAAATGGATTAGATAAGATCACCCTCTTGGTGATCTCACCACCTCCTATGGATTCAATCATATTTACTACTTCGATGACTCCCATATTTATATACCTGGTCTTTCTGTCTGTTGAGCACTACTCTTAAATCTCCAGCTGCCTATTGAACAGCTCTGCCTGGATGTCCTGTAGACATATTAAATTCACTGTGTCCAAAATAGAACTCATTACTTTTCCCCTAACCCTGACCCTTCTCTTAACTTCCCTAGTTCTGTTGAGGGTGACATCATTCTTCTAGTAACCTAAGTTGGCAACCTCTGCAAGTCATCTTTCACTCTTCATTCTCATTCATCCTACCATATCTAGGCAATGGCTAAGTTTTGCCAGTTCCACCTCCTCAACATTTCTCATCCATCCCCTTCCCTCTTCTCAGACTACAATTATTGTAATCTAAGCCCACATCACCACTCACCAGGGCTTTTGCGATGACCTCTTAATTGAGCTGCCTTCATCTAATATCCCCTTGCCAATTCAGCCTCCACACAGCTGCCAAATTCATACTTCTAAAGTACAGAGTTTTTGCTTTACGTAAATTCACATTATGCATATATGACTATGCAAAGAATTCTGAAAAAAGTTCACATTCCCCAAAAATACGTATGTTAACTTTACTGTGTAGTACTCTCTTAGATCCTGCCCCTCAGCTCTGCACTCCACAGCCTCCCATCCCCTACCCCCCAATTCTCCACTCCCCCAAAAAACCTTAAAATAAAAACCCCTCCAAGTGAAAGCAGAACAGATAACTGCCACTGCTGCCACCAGGTCAGGGGCTTGGCTTGAGACATCCAGTGCCAAGAGAAGACACTTGTGCCCCATTCCACCTACCTGACTGTGTATTCCCTGTGTGTCTGTCTTCCATCTGCTGGGGTTGGGTACCATGTGTCTGTCTCCACGTATGTCTGTGTCCAGCCCCATGTGTCTGCTCCTCAAGTATTCTTCCTCATTTCTGGCCAGGCCCACATGTGGCTGGCCCTGGCCCCCCATGTTCCTCCTTCTGCTTTTGCTTCTCTGTCTCCAGCTCCCACATATCCTTGAACCATGTACCAGCCCCCTTCTTCCATGGGTGCATGGCCCCCTTCCAGCCTCCCTTTCTCCCTCCTTCTCTTCCCCATCCACAAGCAAATTCATATTATGTAAAAGTTGCTTAACATAGCAGTCTGCAGAATGGTCCACTTACATAAAGTGAAAACTATTGGTCTGACATATCACATCTGCTCAAGAAGCTTCAGTAACTCCCCATTGCCCTTAGTATCAAGTTTAAACTTGTCATCTGGGAAGAGAAAGGAATAAGCATTTATATAACACCTACTGTGTGCCAGGTAATA